GTAATACATTTTGACAAGTATATAATGTCATATTCCACCATGACAGCATCATACATGATAGTTTCACTGCCCTAACAGGCTGTTTTTTTTTCCTTAAACTTGTTAAGTAATAAAATAATTTATATACTAAACCCTCATTAACTAATTACAAAGCTATTTATTCCTTATTTTTTTAAGTTAAATACTCATTTAATAATAAATTAAATTGAAATACAATTAAATTGAACATTAATAGCAAAAATGTGGGTAATTAGTAGAGAAAAGTGATTCGAGGACTTCAGAAAAATTCTTAAACAAGATAACTATGAACAAAAATTAAACTATTATCTGTTTTATGTTAATTAAATTAAAATGCAACATAAAATAACGAATACATTAGCATTTTCTTGGTTGTGAACTTTAAGAGCTATTGATTGCTTAAATATATTTTAGTCAGTCTTTTCCTTTGGGGTCAAAATAATTAACATCACCATATATGTATCCTCCTCAGGAAATCATGGACTTGAAAAATTAACTTCATTAGTACATATTATAGTTCCATTAAGCTATCTTATAATTTCATATCTAAAATCTACCATGGATTAAAAGTTTGCTTTGCTTTTGTTTTTTTTTTTCACAAAATTCTCTGAAAGAAAGCATGCAGCTAAGTGACAAACATTTAAAACAATTATGTAAAAAATTGCCAATAATACATATTTTAGAAAAAAATGCTCTTTGGTTTACGATGTTTTACTTACATTATTTTCGTAAAGACTGTTGCTTATGTTTTCTACCATAGTTTACATGGGTTTTGTGCTGTTTGTATTAATATTATCTGTCTACAGACCTTACTGTTTATTTTCTTGATTTGGTCTATTGTCTCTCCATTGTACACAGATTCTATGTGTGTTTTTGTTTACAGAAGACAGTCTTTTTCTCCAAATAATGCTTATATAGGATCACTTGTTTCTTGTTTTCTCCTATTCATTTTTCTGACCTGTACTATATATTATTTGGCTATTGCTTTTGGATTTAAGTGAACTTAAAAATTGAAGTATTTTTTATTCATTAATTGTTCCCATTAATGCAGAATTTGGGGACAGTCCTCCTTTTTTTTTTTTTTTTTTTTTTTTCATTTCTGAATGACTGGTTATCAAATTTATTCTTTACTTCCATTATATTACAATTTTCTTCAGAGAGCCAGTGCCATGGGCTAAAATTCCCATGTCTTAGCAGCTGTGAAACTACTCAGGTTGCCTAACCTCATTTCCTCAGTCTTCTCTTCATAAACATGGGGCTAATAATTATACCAACAATGTGGTTAAAATGTCAGTATTATGTAAAGTATTACAGTATTATGTAAGTAAAATAATTAATGTACAACATGATATAATGCTTCACACATAGCAATCTTCAGTAATTACTAGCAATTCTGCTTAGTATAATTGTTTTTGTTGTTCTACTTTGAGTGCAGTAAAGATATTTAGGCTTATTAATACCTTGAACTTAACTGTAATACCTTTTATAGGGTAGTAACCTTCCAAGATATCTAATCAATGTGATTCTGAATTTCCCTTCTTCACGAAAGCTTAGTAAAAAGCCAAATCCAAGGTGAGATCTAGGAGACATCAGCCACATTCACCTTTTAAGGCCACAGCAGTTATCCCAAGCAAAAGAAAAGCAAACAATAGGACTTCTAAGCTCCTACTGCTGTTTTAGCCTTTTCTTGTGCAAAGCAGTAGTATGAAGGAAAAAGACAAATCTAGTTTTCGTGCAATACTGTGGTCCAATGTGAGTATGCTAAAAGAGTATTTACGTTCCAAGAAATCAACAAATGGCCAAATATAAGATCTCTTTTGAGACTGAGGCCCAAACCAAGCCATCCTCCTTAACTTGTCTGATTAACTCTTTAATTGCTGTAAGTGGGGCTCTATTTTACAGCTGTTCATTCTTTTAAGGACATGCAACAAATATTTTTAAACAACCATGAGAAAGATGGCTGCCATTTAAGGTGAAGAACATGAAGGATTTGGCATTCTGTGGTCTTAGTCACTTAAGAAAGAGTTAACTATCTTGAGTGGGGGATAACATAATTAGCCAACACAGTGAAAACTACTAAGTTTTCTTTGACATACCCAACTTTAAATTATTTTTATCTCAATATATATGCTTATAGTTGTTAGCTAACTTGTTCCAGTTTTTCATTCAGAAAATATTGCCATTATGTTGATTGACATAAATCATAAGCTATGAATACTTTGAGAAGGAGAACCGAATCACTTCTTTTTGTGAATAACAACAGTATAGAATGTCCATTCTCTTTGGACCCTGGGTAGGATTTTAGATGAGAAAGATGTGTATGTGTGAGTTTGTGTGTGTGGGGGGAGAGTGTTAAATTTTTCAGGGGTGAAACTTCTATAGGATGGAGTGACAGACATAAAAACAAAGGTATGAGGCAATTTAGGGAACAGTGTATTTCAAATTTTAAGGTAAAACAAAATGGAAATTTTACTTAAGATCTTTGTAGTAGAAGACTTTCAATGTCAAGCTGAAGAAATTTAATAATTTTGAGGTTAAGAGTAAATATTTGGTGATAGGTGACAAGGGCAGTAACATAGAAGTGCAAAGGATATGGAAGAGAAGCGAACTTGATCATTTTCTCCAAATCCCTCATTTTACTGATGAGGATACTGAGGTCTATAGAGGTAAGGCAACAATTTCAAAGCCCAATTAAACTGCCTATGTTTCACATTATCATTATTACCTATCTGTAGGTTTTAGATAACTTAGTTGATTGTCTGTTTAGATATATATTTTTTTAAGTAATTCAACTATAGTTTGGAGGGAGGAGCTTACATTTTGAATGGTCTTCAAATAGAAACATAAAATTCAACTCTGCATCTCACCATGAGGTTTTTGCCAAACTGAAAGGCTGATTCACTGCTATTTCTTTAAATTTACTTCATGCATTTGGAGCACACTATAATGGAAAGAAGCTGCTTTTAGATTTCTGGTGCCAAAACATTTCAGGAAAAAAGAAAATCAAAGATAAGCTTCTATCTCTTTATAAAATTGCATCACTGCTTCTTTATTCTTTCATCTTTACCGCAAATATTTAAACAAGAAACAAATGTCATCAGCTAAAGATGATGAGAAATTTATTGTGAAGACAAACAGGGCTCTAGATGTCAGAGCTGGTGAGCTGAGTCTCCTTCGTTAGGTGTGAATGCAAACCGAATTTTCACAGTAGTTACTCTACACCAAATTAAACAAGATACCTTTCTTCTAAACTCACACTTTTTTGTAGATGCTTTATTTGCAGTATTTATTACAACTGCCTTTCAGATGTTATCTCTTAGAAAGAATGAATGAGAAAATTGAAGAGAAATATTAAAGGAAGAGAATACATAATAGAGGTGAAGCATAGAAAGTCAATTGTTTCAAACTGCTTTTTTGGTAATTGTTTTGTAAGTTTCTCGATGCAGAACACACAAAATTAAAATAGTATTTTTTAAACCCTGAAATTATTTGACCCATGCTAATTTCACTGGAATTAACTGCATATAGCTTCATATCATATAATTTCTCAAAACTAACACATCTTATCAATGAAATTAATAAATTAAATCAATATATCGTAAAGTACCTGGCACACTGCAAAATTCAGGAAGTCGAATTCTTTGACTCCCTGAAATTTCAATCATAGTCACGGTGTCTATATTTAGAAATTCGACAATTTACTTCTGAAAAAAAAAATGTTGACTAATTATCCCATCCCAGCTGCCAAAAGTATTGGAAGAATAGAAAGGGTGAGCAGCAGTGAGCGATATGGGTGTTTAAGAAACTAGCCACGGACCAGCACAGCCTCTGCGAATACGTGGCTATGTGACGACAAGGTTGTTGATGCCACAAGCCTGCGATGGGCAGCAGGCACTGTGCCAAACCAAAGGACCCGCTTCTCCAAGGGCTGCCGGCTGAACCTAAGGCTGATTTCCCTTCCGCCTCCCGGGAGCCCCAGTCTTCGCAGGCACCGTCAGGAGAATTCTGCGCCCTAATTATCCGGGGAGGAACACGCGCCTCTCCCGGAGACCGCTAGGCAACACTCACCACAGCAGCCTTCAGATTACTTCCCTCCGCGAGTGTGTGACTTCGTCTAAGCAACTCACACTTACAGTAGATTCTCACTGGCGAGGCAGCGAGCAGCAGAGGGCGGGGGAGCTGGGAGGAGGAGGAGGGAGGCGGGTGGGAGGTGCAGAGCGGGGAGCAGAGGAGACGACGGAGCTCCAGACACAGCAGGAGCGCGCCGTGGCGGTGCAGTTTCAACCTCGTCCTCCCAGCCGCGCGCACACCGCTTCCTCCCCGAGCCGCGGGAACCGCAGCAGCTCCGGGCTGCCGCCGCTGGGCTCCGCGCGCCTGCCCGCTCGCCGCCGCCACCACCTCCCCTCGTCGGCGCTCAGCCCGCAGCTGTTTCCTCCTGCCAGCCTCTGAACTCTGGATCTTTTCCTTTGCTCGCCTCTCGTATTCTCCCCACCCTGTATTTTCTGAACTCCTTTCCTTTATCTTTAGCCACCCTGCCCTTTCCTCCTCTTTTTACGGAGGATTTCTTCTTGACTGAAGATGACCTGTCTTCCTTACCTTCGTTTCAGCCCTGAAGACTGAGAAGGAACCTTTAGCTTTCCCCCAGGGGCATTTTAGAGACCTCAATCCTTAAAAGTCTTCAGAGGCAGAGAAACAGGACCCGGGACCTTCTCGACACCCTTGGGTCCAGTGCAGAGCGGCACTATCACCCATAACTAGTATTTAATTTAAGCCCGCCGAAGAGGAGGGAGAGAGGAGCCAGAAGCAAACTTCGGCCGTCTCAGAGGATCCGTGGTTCCCGCATTTGGAAGCGCCGCGTGCCAGAAGGCGGAGGACCCCACGGGGAACGCACAGGAGTCGCGAGCCTCCCTCGCCCCCTCCGCGAGTCCGGCGCCGCGGACTGAGCCGCGCGGGACAGCAGCGGCGGAGGCAGCCAGGAGAAGATGCGGGGCTCGGGGCCCCCTGGTGCGGGACGCCGGAGGCCCCCGGGCAACGGCGGCGGTGGCGGCGGCGAAGGCCACCCCAGCACCCCTGCGTCTCTGGCCGGCTGCTACTCCGCACCTCGCAGGGCCCCCCTCTGGACGTGCCTTCTCCTGTGCGCCGCGCTCCGGACCCTCCTGGCCAGCCCCAGCAACGAAGGTAGTGTTGGGGGTGGGGACGGCAGCGACCTGGGGCGGAGGGGCGAGGCGGGGCCTGGAAGTGCGGGTCGGGGCGCCCTGGACGCTGCTGCCGCGGACGAAATCTCATCCCGCATCACGAATTAACATTTGTCCGCTTTCGCTAGCCTTTTCGCTCCCTCTGCTGTGCTTGGTTGCATTGTTTGACAAGAGGTGCGGAGCGCTGTGCGACTACCCTGCGTGTGGACCGAGTCTGGTCG